AATTCACAATGTCCTCGCTGCAATCACAAACATTTACTGTATGGTCCTGCAGTCGTCCTCCTGGCAGCAAACTAAGTACGGATGACTGAACACATTGAAGATATAGCATTCTGAGTAACCATATCGAGTTGTTAACATCAAAGTGTCACTACGGCAGGTAGGTGCGGATAATCCTACATAAATGAAAGAATCAAAGAACTAACACTTTGTGATTGACGAAGTGCAAGCAGAAGAACAAGTCAATAAATATCATATCTACACCTACCGCGGAAAGACACTCATCATGGCTACACTGGACACTGTAGGGTGACTACTGAACCTGTAAATAAGATTATAAGAGCAATCGACCATTGCTATTCCATTCTAAAGAATAATGCAGCTATAACCAGAAGTTGCATTTCACTGATGAAACAACCGTAACACTAGCCAATCGCGACTGATAAGAGCAAAATACAATAATTTTGCGAATCAATAACGAAACTTGCAATAAAGTGCTTTTAAAATAAACATGTAAAAGAACAGAAACTGAAGCAAGTTGAGAAATCCTTATAACGTGATCCGTCCAGACTCCGACTTCTGAATTAAAAATGTCTCTGAACACCTTATCTCCTGTTTCAACAGAAAATGAAAATAATAAAAATAGAAACATGTACCTTAAATAAATCTGTGTCATAATTTGAATGAACCTTTTGCAGTACGGTGCACAGTCTCTCAAGACCCATACCAGTGTCAATGTGCAAAGCAGGAAGAGGAGCAAATTCTGTTTCGGATAGTCGGTTGTACTGCATAAATACTATGTTCCACAATTCAAAAGTTGGGCCCAGTGACGGAATTCCATCAAACGAATAATATATTTCCGTACACGGCCCGCATGGACCCTTCTCGCCCATGTCCCAGAAATTATCTTTCATTCCACGTGGCAAGATGTGAGAACACGGCAAACCAATCTGACGCCACAGATCGCAACATTCCTGATCGGCTTCAAGGTTCAAAGTACTATCACCGGCAAAATATGTCACGAACAGTTGCGAGGGAGGCAGCTTGTAAACGGTGGTCAGCAAGTCCCACGCCTGCCTGCAAACGATTTCTTTCGGGATCTGGCCGTTGAATGACCAGTTACCTAACATTTCAAAAAAAGTATGGTGGAAGCCATCTCTTCCAACGGCTTCAAGGTCATTATGCTTTCCACTTATTCGGACACATTTCTGGAAATTGACCGCTGTTTTCAATGATGAAATGAAGCTAGCATTCTTCCTGGATGACAATATAAGCGGCTTAAATTGATTCACGCCAGCGCTCACAAATAACAAATCTTTGTCTTGCAGTGGCACAACGGGCACCGAAGGAATGAATTTATAACCATTTGAAGTAAAAAAATTAATAAAAGTGTCCCGAACTTTTTGTGAATGCCAAGCGGATAATCTACGCACGGGCAAACAGCATGGTCGTGAAAAACTCCTCCACAACATCTGAAGAAGCGAAACAAGTATATGAACAAGTATCGCAGACATGACTAAAGAAATGAAAAAAGTAAGAAAGGAACAAAACAGCACCAAAACAAAGAAAATTTCTTTAATGAATCGCTTCGTCTTAAACGAAACACATTTAACATTCATAGTCATACAGACACACAATGCGCGACGAACGAAAAGAAGTAAAAGAGAAGTGCCCGTCATAAATTAGATCCACAACATCTGGTAACTAGAATTCGTTGCGCGATTCGTGCACCAGTGCGAAAACGTTTCTGCTGAGTAAAAGAACTTGAAAACAAAATTGTGGCATTCAGGATGTAGGAAGACGCTCCAGAATGTCTGAAATAAACCGCTCCGGGTATCCGTCCCAAATTTGAGTTAAATCTAAGAAAGCAAATATTTAGCGCATACAGACCAATTTGAAAATAACGCAGAACATCAATGGACATGTCTTTACACTGCAATAATGAATCTAAGAAAAGGGGTAAAAGGGAACTCTACATAAATTTTTAGTATTCCATAGTTATGAATACAACATTCATCGGACAGTCTGAAGTTCAAAAGATCAAACTGTCGGTCGCCCGCTGTACCGATTGCCATCAAACACTAGTAAATCATTTAAAGAAATATACCGGCTCACTATGAAGAACTCTCGACAATGGCAGAAATTATACCTTGAAAGGGACAGAGGCAAATTTAGAATGCGCCAGAGGCAAATCGAAAAGAACACGCTTACCTAACACATCGAAGCATTCGGGTAAACTTTCGCTAGGAAGCAAATCTTCCTCAAAAAATTTAAGGAGAGTAGTAGTCAAGTCGTAAAGAATCTCTGCATTGCACCGAATGAAGTTCATTAAAGCGACCGACCACTGCTCATCACGGGCAGGACGTATGTTCTAAAAAATAAGAATGATTATAACAACTTCTATGCTTGGCAATCATGATTAAGTCGCAGTCAAATATATAAACACGCTGGTTATAATCGATGATATTTAAAACAGAATAAGTATCCCTCAGGACATTAAACTGCAGCACGGTCATAAACCAGTAATTACACTCTATTCCAAATCAATAACGAATCATAATAAAAACTAATTCATAAGGGCCTTAAATTGAAGCGAAGAAGAAAGTCACACAGGCAACGAATAATAGAAAATTTGCAGATATGCAAGCTAACTGCGAACTAAAGAAAATATCTAATGACTAAACAGTCGAGAACAACCTAATGGCGGTGATAAGAAGGCGTGACGATATTAACAATCGACAAGGTTGACTTAAAAAAACAACAAAACCAATGAGAGCATGTTGCCGCGGGTCAACATTATCATAAAATATACATGCCGTCGAAATAAGAAACCGTTCAATCCAGAGCATATCGAGAAATACGGGTCCTCATCATCTCACATCGTTAACGCACTCTCGCTGCTCTGCATCAATCGACGAAATGCAAATTACTGACGTCATATCAAACAGATTAGTTCGAGTCAATGGTTTTGTCCATTGCTGCAAATTTTATTGCGCATATTTATTTCAAAGCTGAAATGCACTATGATTCTTTTGTATTATTCCTTAAGCAGCATCTCAAACTCTGAATCCAAAGTTTTCAAGTATAGAATCAAGAAGTATATTTGAATCTTTTATTCCACATTATGGAAAATAGTTAGGCTGCAAAAACGGACGTAATGATCTCTCGGTGGATCTTCTCTGAGTACACAATGAAGCAAAAAACAATTTCCAAAGCATTCACAATGTAAATTTAACGAAGTTAAATCATCCACCAATGCATTTCGTTATTGGTAAAAAGCATATCTAAGACCAATGTCCAACTAACTGGTTTATATGATGGTTTATATGACTAAGACTTTTTAAACATTTAACCCTTTAACTGTTTTCGCAGAAATGACTAAATCCGCAGAAAAATTGTTTCTAAATGTTAAAGACCCATCTTGGAGAAACCAAACTTTGCCATTGCCATCACAAGCACGAGTGAGAGAAGAGGAGAGTTGTGGACCATGGCGAAGTATCCCGAACAACAGCTACCTAATCCTCACGGTACTGACACTAACTATCGAACGTTATACCGATTCAGTCGTGGCCCGGATTACGAACGGCCGCACAGGCTGCTAGGAAACTCAGGTAGACGGGCGAAAAGTTCTACGACCAGAACCTGCTTCACATCTTTCTGGTAGATGAAGGAGTAGAAAAACATCAACGGCTGCCGAAGACCGACAAGAAGTCGACAAAGATACCAGTGGGTAAAACAGCGGCCTTTCTGAACGGAAAAGGCAGACGGCACGATGCCACTACGGCACAAGAGATAAGGTTCCACTGGAATGACATCGCCAGTGAAAGCTCACAGCAGGTAATTACATCATCTCACTCAGAGGGAAAGAGTAGGAGCTAATTCAAGAGACCATAAGGTACCAACTCGAGAGCTGAATACTGGTCAATGAAACGCCAGGGCTATGGAATTTTGAACCTCGGGTGCTTTTTATTCTAGTGTCCACTCCACGACTCGCACACAATCAGGGGTTTAGGCAGAAAACAAACTGGTTGACAGAATAACTGAATGAAAGCCTGGTAGTGGAAGAATGGCAATCCCACGAGTGATGCTGCAACAGATAAAATCTCTGGACCGCTAACCGCGTAATTTAGAGGGAGATGTGTGGAGAAAATGTAAAAAAAAACAGTTTCGAAATGATACTACAAAACGGTCTATTTTTAGGACTGATTTAGAAGCAGTTCTTCAATATAAATGGAACAAAAAATATAAAACTGTTACTGACATTTTCGATAATAAAACAAAAGTAATTAGGAAAAAATTTAGACCTATGACAAAAAATATAACAAGTACAGGGCATTTACTTTGAACAGAATTCGATAAATGCGGTCAATCAGACCATAGAACATGAGACATGCCTTGTAAGCTGAAAAGTCGAGCGGTGTTGAGTTAGGAACCCTATAATGAACGACAATGTAGTACAATGTCAAATAAAACAAAATCGTCGAACTTTTGACACAGTCCTGCGGGAGCGATGCTCCTACAGTGCGCCAGAACAAACAGACGGCGCAGAAACTCGAGCTTGTGTTCTTCCCACTCCGAAACGCTGCAGAGAAGTACGTGCATCGCCGCCTGATAAAGTGCACCTTCACACTGAAATAACGAAACGAGTTTAGGAAACTGCAGAAAAGGAAAAATAAACAAATTATGGAGAACGCTCAGACATCCGTATCACAGTATGGCAAAGCGCGGATGGGAAAGAAGGTTAATCTGCATCTGACAGTGATTTAGACCTGTTTCCCTAACCGCAGTTCCGGGTTGTTTGAGCGGCCAAATTATACAAACGGGGTTGCTGCCTTTCGCGCTTGCTCGTAAAGCATTAGAGTTAAAACATTCTTTGCTAAAAAGCCATTTCTTGAATGCAACCTTTTCGCTGACAATGATCCAACCTCTGGTATCTAGCAGGAATTAATTTATGATCCCCGACGGCAGTGCAACGAACTTTAAATCGCAACATTTGCAGCATGAATCTGCGTTCAAAAGAAATGCGCTATTCTTAAATTATGACTATCTTTCAAAAGAGGCAGACACTTCTTCCGTATCCTAGCAAATTTGTCGTTCAGGAAAGCGCGTTTTACAAGACTGTTTCTGAATTAAATGAAAACTGCAAATTTATAAAAACGCTCTAGGTATTTCGTAAAAAAGATTTCTTCATCAAAAGAAAAAGAAATAAAAGCGCTATGGAAAACCGGTTTAAAAGACAGACTATGAACCGACGCAAAGTGCGCATCATCATATGTTAAATAAACGAGTACCTCATAGGAATTGCCAATCCATTCTTCAGGGCTGAGTTGCAGGAAGTGGTGTAGATTTCTCAGCATGAAATCGCGCATATCATGCGTACTTGTCGAGTTCAGCACGAACAAAGGAAGCAAGATCAAATACGGAATCAAATGAATGTTCGATTCGCGACCCCCGCCATGCGTCTCCTCCGAAAACGATCGCTCTTCGGCAAATCGAAGGAGCAGCAGTTTAAAATCATGCACTCCACTGACAAAGTTAATATCACCGAAACCGGTAAATTCTTGAATGTAACTGTTGTGTCTAAAATGAAAATTAACTTCTTAAAGTTTCTGTCCATATTAAAACAACACTGTTGTCTACGTCTAAGCGCAATCAAAAAGCCAGACCTGTCAGCAGTAACATCTTAGCGGTTAAACAGTTACAATCTTACTCAAGAGACTCTAACAGCCCTTAAGACCCTAGGAAATAGTAGACAGTATAACTGTAAACAAATATGGTGGAATTATATTTATCAGCATATGAATGCCGATAAAGCAGCAGTTTAGCGCCACTGACAAAGCAGATAGAGAAGAGCTGTTCGGCTTCAAACTAGAACTCCGGAGATGCCGAGTTCGATTTTAACGGCGACCAATCTTTATCTTTACCACAAATTCCCTTGAAGAATATATTTACAAGCTTCAAACTGGGGATACTTAGCAGGTAGAGAAAGGGAGAGGTCCTTGGGTCCCAATCTTGATCGATATCACTCGCCCTTCTTCCTTCCGAGGTTGATAACTGAATATCACTGAAAAATGAGTGGAAACAAAACAGAAAAATACAAATTAAAACCGCCGATCCTTCCTTTAAAAATGAGACATTTCTGGCTGATGAAAGGAAGTGGAGATACGCGCCACCATCATTAGAATCATGAAAACAAGGGCGCTACTAATGGCAACACAATGTAAAGTGTAAGGATGATCAACATTCCAGCGGTTACAAACTTTCCTTTTTTACTAGCTAACCGCACGGTATGAAATATACAGAATTTTAGGTGGAGGGCTATCATGGAGTAGGGGACCATTTATAAACAGTTTGTTACATTTCAGAAGGTAAGGGACAACAACGCAATATACGTTAAATGGGTCATTTTATGTTTATTAATATACTTCTGACGCTTAAACGCACTTTCTGATGTTGGCTACTGTATGACTGCAAAGAGAGCAGGTTAGAAAAACATCACTAGTAATGAGCAGTGCAGCATTAAATATAAAAAAATGATGCGAGCCATATCTGTACACTGCTGGTGCTCAAATATGATGAACTT